CCACATGCCGTGGGAAAGGCTGTAAAGGACAAAGCCAGTAAGCATACCCTAAGTGCGACAGAGTGGCCTGCATTTCAAAGGGAAGCAGCATCAAGCGAACCGAAGGAGTTTCATGACGGCCAGTCCGCGATCCCGGTTCGAGATCTTTCCAACCAAGACAGGCAAGTGACTGCAATCGCGCAATCATTAATTGCCACGATTCGCACGCTACCGAGCAGCATACAATCTCCGTCTGCTAAGAGTGCACTGCAAATACTGGATGCACTGAATCCAGTTCTTGCTAACTTCGTATAAGCACAATGGCTCAACAAAATCTCATCTTCCGCACTGAAGTTAAAATTGCGTCGATTTTTCAGTGGAATGCCAGAGGCATGAAGTCCCGTATCTCGGACTTTCGCCAATTTATCCGGGCCGATCTATTCCCTATACTTGTCATATGTGAACCAAACGTATCAACGCATTATAGATTGTCTGGTTATGAAGCTTTTTGCTCAGGCGCTTGCGAAGAACGAAGCAAAGTAATTGTTTAGATTTGCACAGACTTGACTTATCTTTCGCACCCAATGAGTAAAAATGACGACAATCAGTACGTGTGTCTTCGTGTAAAGAAGAATGCAGTTTCGTTCACGCTTATTGATGGATATATATCTCCGTTATCGCGATTTGACTGCGACAGAATTAAAGACATCCTAATGAGAACCGATGGGCCTTGAATCATCACCGGTGACTTCAACGCCCATCACATGCTTTGGGGGAGCACTAGGATGAATGCCAGGGACCGGAACATTGTTACATTCGCTTCCGATTACGACCTTTCCATTATGAGCGATGGTACCCCCACGTATCTGCGGGGTCTCACGTATGGCAGTTGCCTTGACCTGACATTGGTGTCACGGTGCTTCTCTCACAAGGTAAATGGTTTTGCGATATTGAGACTCATGGGGAGTGATCACATACCTACCTTGGTGACGATCGATGGTATCATAAAAAATTCTCTTCCGGTGTTGTAATTGGCACTGACTGGTCGATGTTTACATCGCGTGTTCAGGACGCTTGCCAAGAAGGCCTCGCCTGCAGCTTGGAAAATACCATAGCGGAAGCTATGCAAGCGTCCAAATGTAAATTACCATTTTCGTCTAAAATAACACAGTTTGACATCTAACTGGAAAGATTACGAGCTATACGAAGGCGTGCTGAGCGACGATACAGACGCACAAGATCAATTTACGATCTGAGGGATGCAAGGCAGATATATTTGGAGAACAGTTCGTGGTCTTCGCTCCTTTTTGCAACAACGGCACCCTTTTAGAGCTTTGGCACTCCATCATGGAAAAACAGAACTCGAGGTGGCTGAAGAATTTTGCACGAGAGTTGCCGGGAATATTATGAACGAGAGCATCGACGCCGTGATCGTTCCTTTGACGCGATTACCAGAAATGGACATTCCATTCACCATTGAAGAACTGGAAGGTGCTATAGTCGCTTCTAAGCGCATGTCATCGCCAGGTCCTGATGGTATTACTTATAGTGCGTTAGGACACCTTGGACAAAAAGCCAGAAAAGAACTTTTAACAAGCTTCAACAACTCCTGGCTCAGCGGCAGTGATCCACGAGAATGGAAAATAAGTCGATTAATACCACTTTTGAAATCGGCAAAATCACCATTAGACTTGACAGCGTATCGCCCTAGTGCCCTCGCAAGCTGCCTCGGAAAAGCGATGGAAAGAATGGTTCTATTTCGTCTCGAGTGGTACTTGGAACGATACACCAAATACCCTTCTTGCATGGCAGGCTTTCGTCGGGGCCGCTCCTCCAACGACTGTGTGCTTGACTTATCGACATTTGTTCAACAAGAAAAAAGTTGCAAGCGCATATCAGTGGCACTCTTTCTTGACGTGAAGGGTGCATATGATAATGTAGCTCACGATGCCATCCTCACTTCTCTCGCAGCATTGGGCATTGGTGGACGAATGTTTCATTGGATAAAAGATTATATAACTGACAGGTGTTTCTTTGTGCAAACATATGAGGGTACAACTGCTGAACATTACACCTACTGCGGAGTACCTCAGGGAGGTGTTTTAAGCCCCACATTGTTCAATGTTGCCCTCATTGGTCTAATGAAGGTTCTGCCAAAGTCGGTGTGCCTATCCATATACGCCGATGATGTTTGCCTCTGGAGTGCTGCAGTTACTCGCCCTCAGGTGCGTTCACGAATACAGCGGGCAGCAACCCTCACAACAGCCTACCTTCAGAAACAAGGCCTAACTATATCAACTGTGAAGTGCGCGTTGATGACGTTTACACGCAAACCAATAACGCCATACCCTTTTTACATCAATGGACAGAGTGTCAAATATGCCCGGACGCATCATTTCCTGGGCATAATAATCGACAGAAGTCTTTCGTGAGCCCACATTGTGCGTACTTGAAGAAGACACTGCTATCTATTGTGCATATCATGAAATTCATGTGCGGGAAAGCATGGGGAACTTCTGTGGCCTCCATGCTACAGTTGTACAGGGCCCCATTTCTGGGTGTATTGCGCTACAGCTTGCCGGTACTGACTAACACTTGCAAATCCAATACTCATTCATTAGAGAGTTTGCAGGATCAGGCACTGCGTATCTGCCTAGGACTTCCCCGATGCGCTTCTACTTATGCCACTATCATGCTTGCCAAAGACCATCCGGTCAGGACATATAGAGTGGCGGATTGCCTCAGAGCGCACATTCGACATGCTAGCCGTGTCCCCGACCACCACTTGGCCCTTCTCCCCTCCAGAAGACCACGTGCTACGTTTTCAGACGTCATAGCCACGCACCTAAACAGCATTCCATCAGGATATACGCCAGCTGCGAGAATGGCATGTCCTTTGTGGTGCCTCGACCAGCCTCAAGTACGTCTAGAAATTACGGGAATCAAAAAAAAGCAATCACTCCAGAGTAGCATTGAAGCAAGCAACACTGCAATTAATACATGAGTTGTACTTAGACCGAATGCAGATATACACTGATGGGTCCGTCTCGTCCAGCAGCTCATCAGATGCCGCTGTAATTCCGGCTGCAGCAATGACAATCAAGTTTTATTTGTCGCATATGACTTCATCTACGGCATCAGAGCTTGCTGCTATAAGGGCTGTTTTACAATATCTCGTTCAAGTACGTCCAGGAAAGTGGGTCGTATTTTGTGATTCGAAGGCAGCGCTTCAGAGTTTGCAGTCTGCCACGCGTAGAAGGAGTCATGACCAATTGGAACAAGAAATAAGACATTGCCATCATGAAGCTCTAGCACGAGGGCATGATATTTTATATCAATGGCTGCCTGGACATATCGGTATTACCAGAAATCAATTAGCCGATGATGCAGTCCGCTCAGCCCATGAAAGAACCCGTGTAGTCCCGATTCCTCTATCAAGGAATGATGCAGCAAGACAACTTTACCTGCTGGCTCGAGATTTCACACGCACGTTCTGGTCGTCTACCAGCTTCCAAAGGTGTCAATTTTATGAACTGGATCCTTCGCTCACGCTAAAGCTACCATCGCAACTTTCCCGCTCCGATGCGACACTGTTATGCCGCCTTTGGTTGGGTGTTGCATTTACAAAGGTGTACTCCTTTCGCATTGGTATGGCAGACACTCCCACATGCGACTAATGCGGAGCTGAAGAGACCATCGAACACGTCCTGTGCAGCTGCGTTTGCTACGACACACAGCGATGCCAGCTCCGGATGGTTTTGAATCACCTTGACCCCGGACCATTTTGTGTGCAGAAGATACTAGGACCTTGGGTATCTGCCTCAGTTGCGCAGAAAGCAACTAAAGCACTGTTAATTTACCTAAAGTCAACAAACCTGAGCGACCGCATGTAGACTGTGTGTGCTCCCCGAGGGTGCTCGTGATTGTTTGTACCTTCTCATCTCTTTGCAACCTCTTTTCTCCCCTTTATCCCTTCCCAAGTACAGGGTAGCAAACCGGATGTGCGTCTGGTTAACCTCCTTGTCTTTCCTTGCATCTTCATCTCTCTCTCTCTCTCTCTCTTTGGTAGATTCTCACAAATGCTACAAAGCTGCTCATTCACGACTTGGCCAGTAGTGTTTACTTCGCATGCATCTAATCAATTGTTGTTACCATACTACCTATACTCAGCAGCCCCAAGTTTCATTGACCTCGATAAAGAATGCAATTTGGCATTGATGTGCACATTCAAGACAGCACGTAGTGTGTCCCCTTTCACACAAGAAGAATCACAATTACAGATCACCTCCAAACTTGTCACAATCTGCTGTCATTAAAAGTTATTGTTGACCGGGAGCTCCTCGAATTTTCTACACATCCAGCCTTACTTGTTTTTGAGGTAATACTCTTCTAGACGTTAAGCAAATACGTTAACGATCAGTTGGGTTTTAGTTTCGCTTCGGTGCTGTTCGTGCAGTTAAAATCATTTTAAAGTTCACTGCTTATCTTTACTACTGTGAAATGATACCAGATTCACGGAAATATAGCAGTATCATGGTCCTAAAACCACCAGAGTTCGCCGTCCAAGAACGTCTGCTTCTTTCAAGAAGCGTTTGAATTTTCGAGACCGTACTTTCCGCACTAACTTTCATATGACGCAAAGTAGGTAAAGAATAATATGTCTGCATCTCTAGAGCGCAAATGTTCTCACTATTCTGAACAATTATCAGTTTGAGAATAAGAGCTCTAATAATCAAATGCATGGGAATCAGCAAAGATTTTGCCATATAGCCCTAGCACTGTCAACCAAAGTAAACGCATTTTAATGAAGTTTTTAATAACGACGAAATGGTCTAGATGAGGAAACCTGTCTTGTTACCTGAAACATTCCTACTGGCTCTCGAGAAATAAAAAAATTATAAAAATTATAAGTGTTAGAACATGTGTCGATACTCAGCGGCATTTTAACTCATCTGAGTGAGCTCATTGGGACAAAATGTAGCGACTCTTGAAAAGCTAGTGCCTAACAATGCAATACTTACTTTGTTAGTTCCATCACATCAATTTCTGTAAAATTGTATTCCTTCGATGTCAGCCCCGTCATAACACGGCGTATACACGTGGTCTCAATGGAGAAGTTGTTTTTTCCACTAGACATCTCAAACGAATTGCTGTATGTTTGACGGTAAAGCCATACGTATTCGCTTGTATTGACGACCTGTCGTTTTGCAAGTGTAATGAAAGTTTAAATATTAGGCTTCCGATAAACATGGAGTATTCTAGACGTGTGTTAATGTTAATTAAGCAATCATATAGGATTCTCGTAGCTTTTTTAAGGACAAGAGAAAGGAATAAAATGACTGCTACAATTGCTAATTTCTAAAATTCAGAAAGGAAATGTTAGCTACGTTTTTTCATGACATTTTTCCTGTGCCGAAGATTTTCAAACCTCTGGTTATATTTTCCTTGTGATTCAGGCTGCAACTAGCTTGTTCGAATAAAAAAACTATTCCGTGGTACTCTTTTGATGAAAATGGGACACAATATCTTTTTTCCTAGCTCATTTGTTCTGGAAAAATCAGTTGGCATAGTATTTTTTCTGCGGCACACATTTGTATAACCTGAAACTATTTACTTGAATAGCTATGCCTGAGCAGCCCGTAAAGGCTGCCTAAATTTCCACTGGTATAAACTCATGCTACCTCAGCAACAGTTCGTTTCAAAGCAAGCAAAGCCACACGTTACTCTTGTGAGCAAAAATGGGGATCATCAAGCTTCGTCTTTAAGAGTTAAACGATATAGCAATATTCCACCAGTGTGAAATTTTTCGAACGTGCTGTGAACCTACTACGTCACCTTAAAGGGACAAAAAAGTCATATAACAATTTAAGTCAGAGTGAAAGCTCTATGTGTGACATATAAAACGACAATATATCAACAACAGTGCCGTGCTTACCGAGAAATTAAGGTAAATGCACAAGTACACATGCGCCGCTGCAAGGCATTTTCAATATGATCCCGATGACATCAGACAGACTACCTACAATTATTCACTATTAAACAATCTAGCTGCACTATATAAAGATTCTTCCGTGCATCATAAGATGCAATAAATGCTGCTTGTTCGTTTCTGTTTGATTCATGGAAAAAAATCGCCAGACGTCACTATGGAGAATAGCGTGGTGGTTCCAAAATTCTATTTTGGCGTAGTTACAAAGGATAGGTAATGCCATCAAGTGGGGCACAGTTGAAACAAAAAATGTTTGCAATTTCGGAGCCAATGGTGAGATATTGATCAATAGCCGTTGTTGCTGCTGTGGCTCCCGCTGCTTTCGGTCTGCTGCTACTAGCGCAGTAAAGCCGGACCACGCTATGCACGCCAACAGTAACGCAAGTCGACCCGGACGATGGCCTTCTTGAGGCGGGTAATTTGAAGGGCGCTAAACCAATGCTGACAAATCAAGCGTGATTTTATTTCAAAGTAAGCCCTTTCGTTGTACAAGAGCAACACTACGAGGTTTCTGGACCACTATTTCGACAATCAACGTCGAATTATTAGTTGCCTTTGATGTCCCTTCAAGGGATGAGGCGCAGCAACGTGCATGCCTCCTTTAGTGGGCGGCCGTTTTTAAACTTTCAAGTGATTATGGTGATTTTATGTTATCACAACTGATGGTCTTGTACGCTTGCACCACACGTTATTACGGCAATATTTCATGTTGTATTGGAAAGCATGTAAACAGGACGTGTGTGTTTGTGAAGAGAGAAAGCAACTTTCGCTGCATTTCCAAGCAGAACAAGTCATTGAATGCGAAGCAGCTCTTTGACTAGACTATGTAACGCTGCCCCTCCGTACAAACGCGCCGCTCCCTGAAGTTTTTGGCGCTGCGAAAAGTAGGTCACGCCGCTGCTACGCGTTGACTTTACGCTTTCCTCGCAGAGCATCGGGACGTGTCACGCCCAGCATGGTTCAATAAAACTTGCTTTGTCAGAGTTGGTGTGGCATGACATGAGTCTATAATGAACATAAGTGGTAGATCTAGTATGCCATTGTATTTACGAGAACATACGTGCAGTCGTATGTTATATAGTAAATTATGCATCTATGCGTGCATAAAAATCATGACATAACATTTCAGGTCATCACACGAATTACGACTTGACGTGGCATGAATTACTTATCTACATCAATTAAATTGCAATATATGAATTTTAACTGAGTGGTATTTGACAATATTTTTGTTAATGTTGGCGGGCAACAATCACCATAACGTAGCACTCTGCTGTTTATAACTTCATCTATTTTACTTAGCGAGTGCTACAACGTAGCACTTGCTACATAAACAGGGTGTTTCAACTAAAAAGCACCAAGCAATAAAAATTAAACTGAGCGCTATCCGTTTCAACTAGCACGATATTATTCTTAGTGGTATGTAGTGTGTCAGGCTATACTTATATCTACTGAATAAACTTTCAATACTTGGGTGGCACGCAAGCAGCGTGGGGGCTGAAATCCCAGTCTGTGATGGCTGATTCTTATTTGCTTTGTTTTAAATGCCAAGCATTTCTTCGAGCACGCATTCACTTTGAGCTTCTATCTATCTATCTATCTATCTATCTATCTATCTATCTATCTATCTATCTATCTATCTATCTATCTATCTATCTATCTATCTATCTATCTATCTATCTATCTATCTATCTATCTATCTATCTATCTATCTATCAGCCCGCCTAAATCTAGGTGATTTCTTGAACTGATATCGGTGCACTGTGCATCAGTATTCGATAAACTAACCATCGTAGGGACGTGCTGTCTTTGACACATCACACGTCAAACTTTACAGCCTTATCAGTTGTAGATACGCCAGCTCCCACAAAACAGCCGTCCCATCAGGTCATCGTCAATTGTAATAAACGCCATCCACTGAAATCGATTCGTGTAGCATTGTCTAGGATAGCCATCTCGTGAGCACCAGTGCTTATTAGCGTGCCACTTCTGGCATTTTTAATAGCCATGTTGCTGTTAGAATGGTCACCAAACGGTAAACAACTGGGTGTATAAAACATTCGGCTGTTTACGTGCGTCAATTCGTGCTTTTGTTCACATCTTTAGCGCCACTTCATAACGTTTCGCACAATGAAAATAACAGTCACCTTCTATGCGCATGCTTTAGATAAGATCTATTCCCAAGCTAAACCAACAGAAAAAAATGACAATTTTTTTTTATTTCGCGTCTCTTGTGCCTACGGACACCGGCCACAGTGGGGCAGGACTACTGCAGCATAACAACACTTGTGGTCTTATAACAGCTTTCGCTTTATTATGAAGAGTGGTATCTTACTCGCAAGTTTATTACCCTTCATCCGTCAGGTAAAAACGTTATAAACGAACCCGTTGAGTCCACACGATAAGGTACATAGACAACGGGAACCGATTAGTCTTAAGTCTGGCTCCTATATAATTTTAACTCTTCGTTGTTGAGCGGTACTTTCTTCCGAAAACTATAACTCTGTGACACGCTTACAGCCATACCGCTCTCTTTTTTTCTCACCAGCCTCACCTCTTTTTCTGTTTCCCTTTCGTCTTTTTTTCTTTTCGTTTCGTTTTTCTCCAGTTTCTTTTCTCTAATAATTTTCTCTGCTAGTATTTAAATGGATATTTTTCTTTCTTTTCAGCTACCTGATTCTTGGCTAAACCCCCGGTGTGGTGTGAGCAAGAATTGTATTCTTTTTATTTAGTCATACTGTTAACCCTAACTTGAGGGTCATTACAGGGAGCGTGCCGAAGATTACATGAATATTTGAGGGGCATTTGTAAGACGAATTCTGTAAGATAAAGCAAACATCTATGAGACACATGGCTACATCCATATAACTCATAAAATTTTCAACATATATTTAGGGCATTTTAAACATTTTGATGTTTGAATCAACAAATACATGAACACAAATAGTCTATACACTTTCAACAAAATGCTCGTGAAGAGCAATTTCATATTCACTCAATGTACTTTTTAGCACCACATCATTCGCTAATCCATTCCACATTTTAATGGCATCAGGGAAAAAAGAAATTGGAATACAACTGTTCGAACGTGCATTCGTTGTTTGAATGTACTGCGTGTTGCTCTTAAAAACATTTTGTAAGAGCACGTCCAATAATAATCCTTGTCTATTTTCACCCCTGCACGTAAAATCTAGAAAAGCATTTTCAATTTCAATTTTCTTTAGGATTGACATATACATCAACGTCTTTCTTTTTCAGGCTATACCTTCTGCCATTTCACTTACCATTTCGCCATGGTTCCCCCCTTCTTAGCCTATTCCTCTGTTGCCCTCCTTTTCTTCTTTGTTAGTGTGGAGAAGAGGCACTGAAGAATAAATGCAGAAGCGCTACGGAAATTCCTTTCAACCTTGCATAAGACAAGTCCACTTGTCGAAACATTAACTCCAGCACCCGTCCCCTGTTTACAAAATACCCTTCAGAAGCTTCCAACTTCCCCTTCTATTCTTTATTTTATAACTCTGTTTAGCATTATTCATACTTCTAAAGGTTGCTGGTGTAGTTCAAAATTGTTTTTATTAGCCAGCAACAATCTACAGTTGAACAGCATGTGAGCCTAGACCATGAATTGTGATGTGCTTGCGTGAACACACCTATGGTCACGGTATTCTACCAGTAAAATTCTGATCAAGATTTTTATTTCAAAAGAGCATATTGCCTTTTTACTTTTCTCAGGCAGCACCTTAAATACCTTTATATTGCCACGTTCCATTTCCCAAGCTTTTGTTATCGTCCCAAAACACCACACGATTCTCAGCGCAAACCGCGCCTGCAGTTTTCGAGATGGTTCCGGACTGTAGTAGATCAATTCGATAAGATCACGCCCACTGTGTGAATGGTACATATTGTTCTGGAACGTACGCTGCCGCCAGCGGTAGCGCTAGAACATTCGACGGCAGGAGTATAAATGCCGACGCGCTTCGCCGCTTGTCAGTTGTTGATCGAAGGCCGACGCTCCGTTCGCCGCTATCAGTCCGAGACTGCTATCTGTGCGAGACTGCTGCTGTAATTGGACTTTCCGTTTACCGGGCACAGGTTCGCCCAAATAAACAGTCAAATCACAACACGAAGTCTCCTGTCTTCGGCCACGTCACGACCTCGTGACATCTGGTGGAGGTGCTGCTTCGTTCATGTACCGCACGCCCCCTTCAAGCCGCGAACCCAGCCCACGTCGCGGAGAAGACACCGACGCCAACCAGGAGCAGCGAACAAGCCGCCGACAGCAAGGGCTACCACCAGAGTACGGGATTCTAGAAGACAAGGCGCGGAAGACCAAGGCCATGACCACGACTGCAGCGACAATGACAACCGCCGCATCCCTGCCCACGATGGTCATGCATCAACCCAGGGAACCACCAATTTTCCATGGGTCATCGTTCGAAGACCCGGAGTCCTGGTTAGAAACATACGACCGTGTGGCCGCCCTCAACCACTGGGACAACGAAGAAAAGCTCCGGCGTGTGTACTTCTACCTGGAAGACACCGCAAGGACCTGGCTAGAGAATCGTGAGTCCACGCTCCGAACGTGGGATGTCTTCTGCGGCGCATTTCTGCAAACGTTCGCGAGCGTCGCTCGCAAAGAAAGGGCCGCTGCTCCACTAGAGACCCGGGTTCAGCTACCGAATGAGAAGGTTGGAATTTTCACAGAGGAGATGACCCGCCTATTTCGTCACGCTGACCCAGACATGCCTGAGGAGAAGAAAGTTCGTTTCCTCATGCGAGGGGTCAAACAGGAGCTCTTCGCGGGACTAATAAGGAATCCACCGAACACCGTCCAAGAATTTGTATCCGAGGCGACCACCATCGAAAAAACCCTTGACATGCGCACCAGACAGTATAATCGTCACCTGACTCCAGAATGCGCTGCTGCTCAAACCAGTGACTCCGAAAACCTGCGTGAAACGATCCGAGCGATCGTGCGGGAAGAGCTGCGCAAACTGTTGCCTTCGGCGCAACCTCAAGTGGATTCGATCGCCGACATTGTGCGAGAAGAAGTTCGGCAATCACTTCGAATTCCCATACATACACCACTGCCCGAGCCAGAAACCATGAGCTACGCCGCTGCAGTGCGCCACAACGCTCCTCCCCGTCCACGCCAAAACGCCGCCCCGTCGCACTTCCGTCGCCAGACACCACCGCCGCCACCATCCCCACCGACGACCTACCGTTCACCAGCGGGCCAGCGCAGTGCGCCGAGTAAAACCGACGTTTGGCGCACCCCTGACCACCGCCCACTGTGCTACCACTGCGGCGAGGCCGGGCACACTTACTGCCGTTGCCAGTAACGACAGATGGGACTGCGTGGCTTCGGCGTCGATGCACCACGTCCGCAGCCAGGAGAACGACGACGTGACATCGCCGACTACCTGACAGGAACTCGGTAGACACCACGAAGCCCTTCGCGTTCGCCGTCGCCCAGCCGCCGCACGTCACCGCACCACCGACAGTACTCTGGCCCAACGCGGGGCCGGTCTCCTAGCCCGTATCCGGGAAACTAAGGGCAGCAACCGGTGGAGGTGCGGTTGCTGTGCGACGAACTACCGAAGATCCTCCGACGACGACGACGCCGCGACGGAGCTTTCCGAACACAACGCCAACCAGGCAAAGCCCTGACGGCGAAAGCTCACTTACTGAAGGTGGCCTGACGACGCAACATGGAAGCAGCGGAACAAGCCGACGCAGCCGTGACCCGACGCCACGCCCTAACTGTAATGCGAGACGGCGAACTAGTGACCTCGACGTTCTTATCGACGGCCACAGTGTGACCGCTCTCGTCGATACTGGAGCCGACTATTCTGTCATCAGTGGGTCGTTCGCCGCGAAGTTAAAGAAAGTTAGGACAGCTTGGAAAGGCCCTGAAATCCGCACAGCCGGAGGTCATCTCGTAACGCCTGCAGGAATCTGCACAGCGAGAGTCACCATTAACGGCCGTATTTATCCTACAGACTTCATAGTCCTACAGCGTTGCTCGAGAGATGTCATCCTTGGCATGGACTTCTTATGCCTCCATGGTGCTGTCATCAACCTAAAAACAAAGTCGATAACGTTATCCACAGAAGACGCACTACCGCCGCGCACGCCGTCTGGACACCATGCCTTGAATGTGCTGGAAGAACAAGTCACCATTCCGCCTCGCTCAAGCGTCATTATTTCAGTCTGTGCTCCTGAATCACCTGACTTCAAAGGCGTCGTTGAAGGCAGTCAGCATCTGTTGGTCACCCGAAATATTTGCGTTGCAAGAGGAATTGCAGAGCTGCGGGGAGGCAAAGCAACGGTTATGCTCACGAATTTCAGCAATGAGTACAAACATGTGAACAAAGGTTCAACGGTCGCATACATCAAAGAAATTGTCGAAGCCACCAGTGCTTTCGCCCTCGCCGATTCTGCGGAACATGCTCAGGAGAACCAAGCCCCTCCCATACCTTTCGACGTCAATCCCAGACTTCCGAACGATAAACAAGAACAGCTCAAGGCCCTGCTCCTGCAATACGAAGATTGCTTTTCGTCGTCATCGAAAGTTCGGCAGACATCAATCACGAAACATCGCATCATAACAGAAGAAAATGCCAGACCACTCCGTCAGAGTCCGTACAGGGTTTCGACGCGAGAACGTGAGGCCATGAAGAGACAAGTTGATGAAATGCTGCAGGATGACATTATCCAGCCGTCCAAGAGCCCATGGGCATTTCCCGTGGTGTTAGTGAAGAAAAAGGATGGGACCCTACGTTCCTGCGTCGATTATCGCCGCCTGAACAAAATCACAAGAAAGGACGTGTATCCTCTCCCACGAATAGACGACGCACTTGATCGGCTCCATAACGCCAAGTACTTTTCGTCAATGGACCTCAAGACTGGCTATTGGCAAATCGAAGTCGACGAAAGAGACCGAGAGAAGACGGCGTTTATAACACCGGACGGCCTCTTCGAGTTTAAGGTGATGCCCTTCGGCCTTTGCTCAGCGCCTGCAACTTTTCAACGCGTTATGGATACAGTACTGGCAGGATTGAAGTGGCAGACTTGCCTTGTGTACTTGGACGACGTCGTCGTGTTTTCCTCGAGTTTCGACGAGCATCTTCGGCGCCTTGAAGCTGTACTTCAAGCCATCAAGACTTCCGGACTCACACTGAAGCCAGAAAAGTGCAGGTTTGCATATGAGGAGCTCTTGTTTCTGGGGCACGTTATCAGCAAGTCTGGAGTTCGTCCCGATCCACGGAAAACAGCCGCTATCGCCGACTTCCCGCCGCCCACTGACAAGAAAGCCGTGCGCCGATTTCTGGGCCTGTGTGCCTATTATAGGCGGTTCGTGAAAAACTTCGCCCGCATCACCGATCCTCTCACTAACCTTACCAAGGCCGACGTGGAGTTTAAGTGGGAAACGCCGCACGAACACGCTTTCCAGGAGCTTAAACATCGCCTCCAGACACCTCCGTTACTTGCCCATTTTGACGAATTCGCCGAGGCAGAAATACATACTGACGCAAGCAGCGTAGGTCTTGGCGCCGTTCTTGTGCAGAGGGCTGACGGACTTGAAAGGGTTATTAGTTACGCCAGCCGATCGCTATCCAAAGCAGAAGCAAATTATTCCACAACAGAAAAGGAGTGCCTCGCCATCATCTGGGCTACGTCGAAATTTCAGCCCATACCTCTACGGCAGGCCCTTCAAAGTTGTGAGCGACCACCACGCCTTGTGTTGGCTAGCCACTTTGAAGGACCCTTAAGGTCGCCTCGCACGATGGAGCCTGAGACTTCAAGAATATGACATTACTGTCATTTACAAGTCCGGCAAAAAACACTCCGACGCCGACTGTCTCTCTCGTGCGCCTGTCGACCAACCGCTACCCGACGACCTGGATGACGACTACTTCTTGGGAACGATCACTACCGACGACTTCGCTGAACGACAGCAGGCCGACCCGGAACTTAAGGCCCTAATAGAATACCTCGAAGGCAGGACCACCGAAGTCCCGAAGGTATTCAAGCGCGCACTTGCGTCGTTTTTCCTACGAAACGGTCTTCTACAAAAGAAAAACTTTTCACCGCTTCGGGCTAAGTACCTCCTTGTGGTGCCTTCAGCTCTGCGACCAGAACTCCTGCAGGCCCTTCACGACAACCCGACGGCGGGGCACCTCGGTGTTTCTCGCACGCTCGTGAGGATACAAGAAAGGTACTACTGGCCGCGGCTTACCACCGACGTCACTCGTTATGTGAGGACATGCCGGGACTGTCAGCGACGCAAGACACCGCCGACAAGGCCAGCGGGACTTCTGCAGCCAATTGATCCACCTTGCCGACCTTTCCAGCACATTG